GACCATGTGAGAACGTTCTGTTAACGTTCCAAATGTCATCTTTGTAACATTCTTATGTGACCAAAATATAACCAAAATGGAACATCCCCATAAAGTCACATAAGGAACATTGAGCACCAGCACTTTCATAACCAAAAGAGGACGTTTTAGGCACGTCCCTAATGTTCTGTAAAGGTTCAGGACTTTTGTCACCTTTAGAGAACTTTTAGAGAACGTTGCGCAAGGTTGCGAGAACGTCTCCTTCTACGTGGGGCATCGCCGGCCCTTACAGTAAACTGAAAGCAATCAAAAACGCCGTGGACAGGTTTTTGCTGATAGGACAAGACATTCGGTAAGGGAAATGCAAAAATTATCATGATATTATCATATCATAAACGTTACCAACGCTGTCAAAAACAGTAGCATTTAACACTAGTACACACAGATCTGTAGAACAAGTAGGTTACAGAATGAAATGAAATACGCAAAAACTAGCCATGAAGAAGTCCATGCCATGCCATGTCTTTCATAAGAGCACTAGACAAAGTTATTGTAGTTATGTATTGTTGCAATAAACAACTGATAAAATTATCCACCCTTAAATATAACACAGTTTGATGTAATAAATTATTTAAAATAAATCATCCCTCCCAAACAGAGAAAAATCTTTCAGAAACATCTACATGTCTGTCTCCTTTGAAGTGTTTATAGTGTATATAATGAGTTGTATTTGTAGGGGTTATTATAACACAATTCTTTAACACCAACCCCCATCATCCCCCCCATCATTGTTTTTTTAAGTTGAACTTTAACTTAAGTATCAGATTTTTAGAACCCTGTCATGCACGAAACTGCAAAAACCAGTGGGTGGAAAAATGAGTTCTGTGTGAACGGCCCCTTAGGCTGCATGACAAAAATCTGTACTGCTGTAACTTCCTGACAAGATGTAAAATTATTTACTTTTATTACTATTATTTATTATTATTATTATTGTTTTATTTATTTATTATTATTATATTTTTTTTTGTTGAGTTTGTTTGTTTTTACTTTAGGGAGTTGATCAGGTCTACCAAAATCTTGATGATAATACTGTGATATGATTATAAACAATGAAGTCGCTTTAATAAAAAACAATAAGCTAAAAATAACTGCAAATCTCTGCAGTTAAAATATATCTGTAGTCAATATACGATACAAAAATGTGCTAATTGAAAAACTCAGTTTGGTAAATATGGGTTGCTTTTGCTAATCAATATGTTATTAAAAATGTTAAACCTTAATCTCAGACTAGGTGTGTTCTCTGTTCTCTGTGTCTTATTTTTTCTGTATGGGCGCACAGTATAAGGAAGTGGAATAGAACTGTACTGTCCACATATTTAAATGACTTGTCAAACTTTAAGAGAATCTCACTTGGTATTTACTTGCCAAGCTGGGTGATCAAGCAGTTTTTCATTATAACTTCAGCCATTGATGATTGAAAACTGGTATGTATCCCCCTTTTATGCTAGAGTTTTAAATCACATATTCTGATGGCCTGTTTTAAATTTAACTGAGATATTATTTTAAAATGATTAAACACCTAAAAAAGTCTTATTGTATCCATTTGCTTGTGAATTTTAATGCAAGTGATAACCGTCAGTCATCAAATGTGTTCATTTCCAGTGAAAATGCATGTATGTGCTTTTCTTCTGCTGAGCTCGGCTTTGGCTCTTTGTCTTGCATCACCTATGGTAAGTGCAATAGTTGACAGAGTTTGTTATAGTACATTGTACGGGTGATGTACAGTTGTTGATTTTTAAATCTGTTTTTCTTAATGTCTAATTATTGTATTCTTGTGTTCTCAGCCCCCACCAGATATAGTTGGTACGTACAGCACAGTCATAGATATTGATTTGTTGTAAAGTTACTGTAATATGTCTCCAGTGTACAGTGTAACAGATCCTGTTTTGATCACTTCCAGAAGATGTAATGCTCTTTTATCAATTTACTTTCTAGCTGTTTCACTAAAATTATGTTTTTGTCTAAATTTTTCTAAAATTAATGTTTTTTTAATTCACCTCTCTGTCTTTTTCTTTTCTTCATTACACATTTCCTCATTGGCACTACAGAGGAATGGAAGGACATTCCAGATATAAACAAAGGTAAAACCAATATTTTATCTTAAGAAATCAAGTATGTTTATATAAGTCAACGTATATCTATTTGTGTTTAAAGGGGTCATATGATGCGATTTAAATTGTTCCTTTTTCTTTGAAGTGTTACAAGCTCTTGGTGCATAAAGAAGATCTGTAAAGTTGCAAAGACTAAAGTCTCAAATCCAAAGAGATATTCTTTATAAAAGTTAAGAGTCAACCACGCCTACCTAAAATGGCTCGTTCTAACACACCCCCACATGTCTACGTCACTATGTGG